TTGAATCCCACAACAGTAGGGTCTGGGGAGGGTGTGTGTACGCAGACCTTGCCCCTAAGTAGGGAGGTTGTTTCCAAGAAACCCCCGGCTCCACCTACACAAACGAAATAGGTGTAAATAATGAAATTGTTGCGTTAGAGGGTAGGCAGTATTGCCGGGACAGTATCATGCTATCGTCACGCTCTATTTGTTCTTTCTCCTCTGTCAATAGTTGTGACCATTCACATACAAGTTTGGAAATATAAGCATATCTTTCCAAATAGTTGGTATCATCAAATCTAGTTACTATGAAAAAATTGGGACAAGAGGGAAAAAGCTCAAACTTAGCACTCCAAGTCCGCCATGATCAAAGTATATGAAGATATGATCATTTAGACCACAAATTGAACTTGTTCATTTTTAGCACAAGGTTTGTCCCATATAGTCTTTCCTTGAATAAATGTTAGATTAAGTGTTTATTTTTACCTTCATCTTACTTTACCTTCCCTACATGTTTTTACAGTATAGCCATGAAGCTTACGACTCTGTAAGAAAGGCTGAAGGCCTGAAGCACAGATGCAGCTCATTGAAGCAATGTCACAGAATGTATTTACATCAAAAAGCATAAAACTTGTTGGCAAGCTCTTATTCGGTATTGAAAAAGGCCCATAGGTGTTAAAAGCCATTCGACCAGCTGGGCAACCTCTTGTTGATGATTGGGACTGCCTCAAGAAAATGGTAATTAATTCTATCAATGTAGAACCCCCCTGCTCTCTCTCATATAGTATTATGTTAATGAATGTAGGTAAGGATATTTGAGGTACATTGTGGGTCCTTGTCCCAGTACGGCATGAAACACATGGGATCCCTTGCAAGCAGATGCAATGCTGGAGTTCAGATAGAGCAAATGAACAAAGCATCAGCTCAAGCTTGTAGTGTTGTCCCTTCTGGTCCTTAAAGTTCTCTCTTCATCGATGATTTTTTGCATGAAGGTAAGAAACAAGCATTGTTACTCATATTAATGCATGTGTAAGCCTCTATATGTTACTGCTAGAAAATTGGTACTTGATTCTTGTTTTTTGTTGATTTTGGGAATCGAAGAATTCCCCTTAAACAAGGCTACTATGTTGGGAAATTATATTTTCACCAATTGTTGATTCAGCAATCCTTACTGATTAAGGTGCTATTTACCTAACATGTTTTGTTTTCTTGTTGATATTGTTGCCGCTTTGGTATTGATGCAGGATAGTGGTATTGGATTTGGTTAATCTAGCCGCTCCTAACTACTCTGATCCTTTTCAGTTTACATAATATTTAATTGAATTAATTTTGATTAGTCCTCATTAAAAGTATAAATATTATTTTTTTTATATTTTTTCTTGATTTGATATTATTGGATTTGATTTGGTCTGATTGGACCTGGTCTAATATGATTGGATCTCATCTGATTTGATCTAATCTGATCAGATTGAGTCTCATTTGATCTGATCTAATCTGATCAAATTGAGTCTCATCTGATCAGATTGGATCTGATCTGATTAAGTCTGGTTTGATCTGATTTGATCTGATTTTGATAATAATAAGTAATAAGTAGAGAAAATAAGTCCTACAGAATGGACCCTTATTCAGATTACGCAGGTTGAGGTGTTACAGTGTATGCATCATTACTCATTGAAATCTCATTTGTAACCTAGATTCATGAATAATCAATGCTGTGTTTTGCTATAGATTGGTTCTTTAGTGTTGTTGGATGAAGTTAGTATCATGTTTTTGTAAGAATGCATAGATGCACACCCTAGGTTGCGTTTGGCAGATTAAGATTTTATTGACATGGTTATTTATGTGGTATTGCGACAAAATATCTATGATCAATTCATTTTGATTTGATTTCAGCTTTCTGGCTCATTCCTAATTTTGCAGTGTCATGCATATCAAATCTTGATAAAAGGTGGAATTAAAGAGGAGAATGTCATTGTTTTCATGTATGATGACATTGCTTTCAATAAAGAAAATCCAAGGCCCAGAGTTATCATCAATAACCCACATGGTGATAATGTGTATAAAGGAGTTCCAAAGGTTGTTCCCTTTTCAATTTCAAACAGTATTCAGTATATAGAGTAAGACATTATCTCTTCACAAGAGGGGTTTTCATTTGACACGATAACACAGTAAAAAATGTTATGGTGAACAACTTCTTTGTTGTCATCCTCGAGAACGAAGACGCTTTAACCGGAGGAAGTGGGAAGGTTGTAGATAGTGGTCCAAATGATCATATCTTCATATACTACTCTCATCATTGCGGACTTGGAGTGCTAGGTTCGTAGCTTTATTCTCTTGTCCCAATTTTTTCATATTAACTGGATTTGATGATACCAGCTGTTTGTTTGTCAATTTCGATATGCCTACCTTTCCAAACATGTATGCGAATGACCTAATTGATATGTTGAAGAAGAAGCATGCTTTAGGGACTTATAAGGGTATGTTAATAATATAGCTATATGCCTACCTGTTTGATGTGTTGAAGAAAAAATATATTTTTCAATTTAAATATGCCAATCTGTCTCCTAAACAAGTTCCATATTTTCAAAGACAGTAAGTTCTTAAGTATTCTCGTTTGCCCTTGCCGCTATGGTTGCGTGAATAGCTAGACCTTTAGGAAGAATCTCAAAGATGCTTCTGATTGGCAATCTTCAAGGTAAAAATTCTACAATGCCCCAATTACATGAAAATGACTAGTACAACAAAAAAGGTATGACCATCCACAAGAAATTATAATTTTTTTGTTGATTCAAAATTATGAATTTCTTGTTGATGGTCATATCTCTTTTGTTATACTAGTCATTTTCATATAATTGGGGCGTTGTAGAATATTTACCTTGAAGCTTGCTAATTAGGAAGCGTCTTTGAGGCCCTTCCTAAAGACCCGAATATTTACGCAACCACAACAGCAAGGGAAAACGAGAACAGTTATGGATTGTCTTCAAAAATATAGAACTTGTTTAGGAGGACATGTATGCATATCTAAATTGATAAACATGCTTCTTCTTCAACACATCAAACTGGTAGGCATATCATTACCATGCCCTTATAAGTCCCTAAAGCATGCTTTTTCTTCAACATATCAATTCGATCATTCGCATACATGTTTGGAAAGGTAGGCATATCTAAATTGACAAACAAATAGTTGGTATCAACAAATCTAGTTACTATGAAAAAATTGGGACAAGAGGATAAAGCTACGAACCTATCACTCCAAGTCCGCAATGATGAGAGTAGTATATGAAGATATGATCATTTGGACCACTATCTACAACCTTCCCACTTCCTCCGCTTAAAGCGTCTTTGTTCCCGAGGATGATAGCATAGAAGTTGTTCACCGTAACATTCACCCCCCGTGTTATCGTGTCAAATGAAAACTCCTCTTGTGAAAGGATAATGTCTTACTCTATATACTGAATAGTGTTTGAAATTGAAAAGGGAACTCCTTTATACACATTATCACCATGTGGGTTATTGATGGTAACTCTGGGCCTTGGGTTTTCTTTATTGAAAGCAATGTCATCATACATGAAAACAATGACATTCTCCTCTTTAATTCCACCTTTTATCGAGCATTGTTACTCATATTAATGCATGTGTAAGCCTATATATGTAACTGCTAGAAAATGGGGTACTTGATGCCTGTTTTTTGTTGATTTTTGGGGATTGAAGAATTCCCCTTAAACAAGGCTGCTATGATAGGAAATTATATTTTCACCAATTGTTGATTCGTCATTCCTTACTGATTAAGGTGCTATTGACCTGACGTGTTTTGTTTTGTTGTTGATATTGTTGCCGCTTTGGTATTGATGCAGGATAGTGGTATTGGATTTGGTTAATCTAGCCGCTCCTAACTACTCTGATCCTTTTCTGTTTACATAATACAGAGTATTTAATTGAATTAGTTTTGATTAGTCCTCATTAAAATACTTGAGTGTATGTATGTGTGTGCTAAGTAGTTCTTGAACCAAACTGCACTGTATTGAAGGTACAGTATGTTTGGAATATATATTAGAAATCTAGTAATTAGACTAGTTTAGTTGGTAGAAAAACACAGTTAAAAGAGCGGTCTCTTGGTTGAGCTGAGGTCTGATTGCTGTTTGTTATATGGATCTCATGATTTGTTTTGGATTTGCTTGTAGCTGCTGCTAAGCCTTGATGCTTGCTAGATCATCTTACACAAGGGCAGGTCACGGAAAAGAAGACATCAAAGTAAAACATTTGATGCATTATGTTTTTCATCAGTAAATAATAATGATATTACCCTACAAATCGAGTTAGGGGCTGTTTGTTTCAGCTTCTTAATGGTTCAGATGTCTGAATGTTTCAGCACTTAATGATTCAGACTGTTTGTTTCAGCCTCTTAATGGTTCAGATGTCTGAATGGTTAAGACATTTGCCTCTGAATAATTAAGTATTATACAAAGTCTAAATGGTTAAGACCTCTTATCTGAATTGATCAGACATTTGCCTCTAAATAGTTAATCAATATTCTAGCTCTTAATGGTTCAGACCTTTTATTGGTTAGCACTTACCAATTCAGAAGTTGTCAAACAGCCCCTTAGTTGTTCCTCGTCATTGAATCTGACCCTTGATTTGTTTTTATCTGTTTATTACCCAACACAATATCTGTTTTTGTTTCAATTTCTTTATCTTTTTTTAATTACCAGTAATGATCAGCATCAAGCCGAAATGAAGGATTTCAGCCAAAATCCACATAGAAGAGGAAACTGCTTTTAAACCAAATACACCAACAAATTTTCTGTGGGGTCACCTAAATTTCAGTGTTGCTTACCAGCCTGGAGCAATGCTTAAATTCGTTAAAATTAAATTATACATAGTATAAAAAAAGATTGAATTATGATTGAAGTATTTGACATTTTACACCATAAATGAAAAGAAAACAATTATTACTCAGGGTAGCATTTTATTTCTAGTCAATATTGACTGGGAGAAAGACTAAAGTAGTATTAAAACATTAAAAACTACATTATCACAATGTGAAATCATATTTTGGAAAAAAGCATGAAACTAACAATTATTATTTTCATTTTCTATCGTATATGTGTTACATGTATGTTTTATGAAACTAACAGGGCCACAACATTGGGTGTTTATGTGTGTCTGTATTTGTCTTGGTGTACATTTGGTGTGCAAATCTTGGGGTCCCCCACCACTCTTTTTTATTAGTTATATTGTGACCTCAAGCTTATGCTAGTGTTTTTTCATGCGTACGGGGACACTAAAATGGTGATGCCACTTTAGTGTCCCATTTTTTTCTTTGTTCATAGATACCACTCAATCACTTGTGGAAGAGTCATGATGGGGTCACATTAGGTTCGACACCAAGTCTTTCACTTGTATTTGGTGTCAGACTTTTGGTGTCAAACTTGATGGGTCTATAGCATTTTGCTCATGGAATGGTGGAGTAATTTGCCCGATGAGGAATGGGGGATCACATTAGGTTCGAAACCAAGTCTTTCACTTGGATTTGGTGTCAAACTTGATGGGTCTAGCATTTTGCTCATGGAAATATGGAATGGTGGAGTAATTTGGCCGATGAGAAATGACATGTCCATGGTCATACTTTGGTATGAAAATTAGGGGCAACATATAGCAAACAAATAGAAATTGTTTGCATCGAGAATCCATTTCATTTATATCTAATACGGAGTATATTATTTGTACGTATCTATCTACCTATTATTTCATGTGGATAAGATCACTATTTTTTTTAAATAGATATTTCTTCATTCCTTTTTACGCGGAGTATTGGATAATTCCTTGTGATCATGCCGCTTTATTTTCACCTCAGATTCGTTGGGATATAGATCAACTCTCACAGGATCGGACTATTTATTTAAGATTCTTTGTCTGTGTCTTATAATTTTTCTTTCTTTGAAGCAAATTCTAATCACTTATTTTTTGATTTTCAACACCTTTTTATTTTAGTTTGTGATACCAAATTGAAACAATAATATCATGATGGGGGAAATAGTTATTTGTTCTACTTTCAAAAGTTATTTGTAAAGTTTCTCTCGCTTCCAAATATATCACGTATGCGGTAAGCCACTTTTACTTATTTTTAGAGTTAAAATGATATTTATGTCTTTTCTTTTCTTCTATCTTGCATCTTGAATTTCTAGTTTTTAATTTTATTTTTTATTCTACAAATATATAAAATAAAATAAAATATACGTTCCTCAATCTCAAATTTAAAAGTTTTATTTATGTTTTTTTGAAAACAAAAATATTTTAAAATTATTGAAAAAATTAATGAAAAAAGTAAACAAAAATGTTTTTTTTTCTCCGTATTTTATTTCATCTTTTTGTTCTTCACTTTATTAAAGTTCCTAAAAAACTATTTTACTTTTAACTTGAGATAGAGTGAGTATATGTTATGGAGTATTTTTTATTTACTTTATTTTTACTTATTATAAATAATGTATTTTATTTCATTTTTTATTTTAAATTTCTTTTATAATGTTTTCTAAAAAAATAGTTTTGTTTTGAAAAATAAATAAATGAATTTTTTTAATGTGAGATAGAGAACGTGCATTTTATTTTATTTATTTGTATACTAAAGGGAAAATGAAAATAAAAGAAGGGAACTTAAAAATAGAGAAAAAGAAAGGACATAAATATCATTTTAACTCTAAGAATTTTACAAATAACTTTTAAAAATATAAATGGTTAAACGTTTCTTTTGTAACGCATGAGGTTTACTCATGCTATTAGTCCACAGTTTAATGATATGATTTTTTAGTATGATTTTTTTGTGGTTTGATTTGAAGTGATTTGATTTTGTTAAAAGTTTTAAACTATTTTTGATTTGATTTGACTTAAATATGTTTGAAGTTTCAAAATAATATTTCCAAACTCATTTTTTTGCAAGGAAAGTTAACAAATAACATAAATGTCTATTTTATCCTTAATGAAAGTGAGTAGATTATGTATTATTTTTCTATATGAATATCTTTTGTATCTTTTTTTATTTATAATTATGTGTGTTTTAAATGAAAAGATAAATGAAATGAAAAAATTACATATATTTCAAATAAAACATTATTTAAAAAATTTAAACTACATTTTTTAAAAATTTAATGAAAGAAATTTAAATAAACTACCGAGTATATGAAAAAAGGAAACTAGGATAAAACATTAGAACAGTGCGTGTGTAACATTTTAAAACGATGACGCATTGGTGCTGATTTTTTATTCTATTTGGAGTATCGCTGTACAGGGACTTTTTGCCCATATACTCTCCCCATTCCTAAATGATTTACAAACTTTATTATTCAAAAATTACCAAATTTTTTGTTTATTTGTATATTTTCATTGGCTGAAAAAATAGAATATTCTCGTCATTTCTTGTTTTGTAGAGTTTTTGTTGTATTTTTTGAATATGTAAGTTTTACTATTTTTTATTAATATACTAATCTTTAAATAAAATGAATTGAAAAAACATGTATTTTTATTTAATTTTGCATAAAGAGTAAATGATTTAGGGACGGATGGAATATCATACTTCTTCCATTCCAAAATAAGATTGATGTTAGTTTTACGATGTTTGATAAAATTATTTTCAATTCAGTGTAAATGAAAATTGGTATAGGATTAAAAAAATTAAAATTACATATTACAAAATTATATCAAAAGTTCTCAAAACAAATGATGAAAAGTTTATACTATTTATTAAATGATCAATGAAATTAGAGCTAGTTTGACACTTTGACCAGTGATTAGTAACTAAGAAGCTGAATTTGGGAGGGTGAGTATGAAATAATTTTTTAATCCACATATTAAATTATTTAGATTACTATTATTACTCCCTCCATCCCAAACTAAGTATCCATTTAATATTCAAAGAGTCAAACTTTAATCACTTTTTTTTTTTATTTTCATTAGTTATTTGATAAAATAATATAATAATGTCACCACTAATTTTGTAGATCTTTTAATATAGTTTTTAAATATGTAATTTTTATTTTTTAATTCTATATCATTTTTATGTAAAATAATTTGAAAATAATTTCAGTTAGATATCTGAAATCTAAACTGGCAATTTAAATTGAGATGAAGGAAGTATTAAATTGATATCCTTGACCATCGAAGCCCAACAATTAAAGATCATGAATGCAATATTACACCCTTGACCCTTACTTTCCAAATAAACTTGGTTGTTATTGGTGCTATCTTCTTTTGATTTGTTTATGTTGTTTGTGTGTTCCTATTGATTATCTTATAGGATAAAATATATTTTTGTCATTTATTTTTATAGATCTTTGGTGTTACTTTGATATATACTTTGTATTGTTTTTATATCAAACAGAAATAAAAGGATTTTAAAATTTGGAACAGTGAAAGTTTATTTGGGTAGGAGCATTATTCTTACTATTCACACAAGAACATAACTCATTTTAAAAAAAGCCCCAGAGTACACCATCGGAGACTGAGCAGGAGAATACAAAACTCAAGCAAGAAGAAGGGAGTACATGCAATGTAGCTGAGAAGTCGGTGGAGAGTGAAGCTTCTGGGGACAGTCACGAAGCTAATGATGATGAAGTTGTTCGAGAGATTGATGTTTTTCTTAAGCCCTCAATTGATTCAAACACTAAGGTAATAATTATTCTAAGGCTGCATTCTGTTTTTTTTTTTTGTTTCAATAGGAATTCAGAAAATATTCCATTAAACTGTGATTTGCATGTTGTCAGCTATATGTACTGCAATATCCCTTGAGGCCAAAATGGCGACCGTATGACTTATAGATGAAAAGTGTGAAGAGGTGAGTAGGAACCTTGGCTGGTTCCTTGAGCTATACTATTTCGCTCGAAAAGCAATTTCTCTGCTATTCCTTATAGTTGTTGCTGAGGAGACAAATAATAAGACAAAACATCTGTGGTTCCATATGCCATAGAGAGGCATAACTGTGGTTCCATGAATGTAAGATCAAAACATCTGCTATTTCTTATTTGGATCAACTTAGCTAGGAGTCTAGGACTAAATTAAAGAATGCATATCCCAGCGTCCATACGTATCCCAAACTTTGTGTCCATCGCATGTGTTGCAATTCCCATGTAACAGAGCCTAAACAAGATTAATCTCCTTGCTGTCATGTCATGTATGGATTTGGTTTTCTAAGAACACAAACTGCCACATAACCACATCTTATGCTGAAAAAAATCAATTTTTTTAGAATAATGAATCTTTTTCAGCTATTTAAAGACCTCAATTATTTTTATTAAGCCATTGAAATGAAAAGTTTTGATGCATTGGGGGCCTTTGGTCTCTTTTTTAATATTAAAATGTCACTTCACTGGAAAATAGTATTTGGCCATCTTAAAACATAAGTACGTGGTTCATGTTTTGCTTTTTGTATATTCTAATTCTTAGTGATCTTTTTAGACTCTTTCAACTGCATGGAAACCAACTCCTTCCTCAACTGGATATGCCGTTGGTGTTCTGGTTGACAACAAGGTTTGCTAATTATCCTTTTTATTTCTATTTCTTTTTCATTTTTTTGGTTGTGCAAATCTGTTAGAATGATTTGATATTCGATTGATGTAGTGAGTTTTATAATAACAGTCCCCATAATTGTCCTGTCCACCCAAAATGCACAAAAAAATGGCTCAATCCATTGATAATGTGATGAGTCCATATGCTGGTGCATTGGATGTGCAGATTCTGAGGATGACATACATTACGAAGTCACACACTCACTCTGTCCCTAATTGTTCTTAAGGCAAAATAGCTTGGAGATAAAGAGAAAGAAAAACTATCTATGTTATGTGTTCACCTTAAATTTCTGTGTCATTTGCACATGAGAAGATCAATTTCTGTGTCACCTTAAATATGTAGGTTGTTGAAGTGTTAAAGGTACAAGCGAACTTTCATTATAAAAATAGAAAAATTTTATGGCGACAAATGAAAAGCCTTGATTGTTACGGAATATCCAAAAAATGAAACTGGGAAGATTATTTAAGGATTTTTTACTCCATACAATTGTCCATTTAGGATTTCAGGGGTATGTAATATAGTGTGAATGCAGCTTACAATATCCTCAATTTCAAATGTTTTAATGAAATGAAATTTTGAGCAAAACTACCAATAACAACAATTTTGTTACATTTTTTTGTAGTTCCAAACGTGAGAAATTAATGAAAAAGATGCATATTTCCCTTAAGGTGTTTTCATTAAAGATCTATATCATTTTTGAATATCCATAAACTGAATCTGGTTGGGATTTTTTACTCCACACGATTCTTCTTTAAAGATTTCTGGGGGTATGTATTACATAGGGCGAATGCAGCTTATATAGCATTCTCAATTTCAAAAGTTTTAATGAAATGAAATTTCGAGCGCAATGCTCAACTACCACCAACAGCAATTTTGTTACATTCTTTTTGTAGTTGCAAACTTGAGAAATTAATGAAAAAGATGCATATTTCCCTTGAGGTGTTTTTATTAAAACTCGACTACGGGTGTTACCAAGACTTTACAAGTCTATTCAATGGCGTGCAATGTGAAAGTTTTATCCGTATTTTGTTTTGTTTTTCATGCAGTTGTACCTCAATCCCATTCATGCAATTGTGCAACTTCGACCATCAATGCGGCATCTTACGCTTAGTGGGCCTGGTGAGACAAGCACTAAAACTAGCATTGATAAGGAACCTGTTGAAACGAGAATTGAGGAAGAACAGCCTCTAATTCCACCATGTAATCAGGCAAGTTCCAACTTCTTCAGTTAGATTTACATTCATTTGATTGATAATTGTGTGATTTTTTAAATGAAAATTTTAATATACGAATGTTCTGTATGAATATGTGCCTCAGTAAAAGGCAGACTATGCAGTCACATACTCTTTGGTGTTCATTTTAATAGCTGGCATCTTACGTAGTTTTTGCTCCCAAATTGCTTGTTTTAAAGCTATTATTTACATCTTGTCTTCTGAAGTCCATTTGGTAATGTGCAGACCAAACTTGTAACAACAGTGCAAGACAAGGATACTGAGGAGGTACAAGAAAAATATCCAACCTAACTTTGTACCCTACAGATATGATATTGAAGCAAAAAAATCCACAATATGTGTTCATTTTGGTTATATGATTTTTTTCCTTGTTTAGTTATCTTTATCAGCTGTATCACTTTTCTTTAATTCAATTTGCAGCCCTGGGTGCGCCTCAAGTATCATCCCAGACAAAGTGACATTTCAGCAAGATATTTGGAAAAAATGGTGGAGGTTCATGGTTCTTCAAATCTGTTTCACATGAGCCCGTGTGTATTTCCTCTATGCTTGTTTGCATTTTCAAGTTTCAAGCCTTGATTATGTTATTTTCTTCAATTCAATACCACACTGCAATTCTTCTTAATTCAAAGATATAGTTCCACACTTCCACTAATCCCATTCATTTTTCTCCACAAAGGTATGACTATCTGAAAGCCATGTGCCCTGGCGGGTTGTCTGAAAGTGACCAGGACAAAGCCCCCCCAAGATGCCCAAGGTATTCATGCAGTCTAGTGTTCTGATTTCAAAACAAAAATAAAATTCAAGGTTTAAAAACAAGATTAGGTAACAGTTAAGTGTTGCTTCAGGGTATGGACTTCAGAATCCTTGGAAGAGTATATCAAATCCAGGCTTTGTGAGGTAACTTTAAGACAGTATCATTAGCAAGAAACGACGGTATAAGTTTTTTGTTTCCTTCCTACTTGAATTTTTCTGCTTGGCAAACGTAAAAGTACAAGCAGGGACCAATTCACCGTTACAACACTTTGGCGTACCTCGGTCTGGAAAATCCTGAAGACAAGAAAAAATGGAAGGAAGAAATTTATAGAATCCTTAAAGAGCATGCCATATCAATTCAAGGGCTCTGGGTTCCAAAGAGCCGTCTTGTCTATGGAACGGACAGGGGCATAAAAGTGCTGGCCAGGAGCTACGTCATATACTTGTTCAGCAAAGCGCCTACCATAAAGAAGTCAGTGTTGAAGGATGACACCGTGTTCGAACATCTCATGGAAGGGGTGCTGAATGAATTGGGTGTTGAGAGACCACTGCTTAAGGACTGGAAGCTCAAGCAGAGTCCTGACTATCAATTTCTGAAAGATCATAAAGAGCTGGCCCAGCAGCAGGCTGAAAATATTGAAAGGGTCGGAGAACGCCTCCTTGAAGCAGTTGCTAGAGTAAAAAGAAAGATTTGGGAAAGAGAGACTAGCCAGGAAAAGGGACCAGAGGGAAATGCTGGAAAAGGTTGATATGACGACGATGGACTGAGATGGTCATTCTGAAATCTGAATGGACCACCTATTCCTACTACTACTACTACGTACTACGTACTCCTACTACTACTCCTACTACTACTACTACTACGTATGTATGTAAATAAAAGCATAAAGCTTGATCATCGGTAGACCTATTATCATCATCATCTCTGTTGATAAACCGTATGGAGCTTTGTAGACCAGACCTATTCCCATATCATACCATTACTCCGTATATAATAACGGTAAGCTTCAATAGATACACCTATATGCGCATGTTGTAATGCCCAACCACTGGTTTCTGTTTGAAAATGCCGTGTGAGAAGATATTCATATGCATGTCCCAATCTTGTTTCGGAATGGATTCGGGACAAAATTTGTCTTCCCTATGAAACAGGACATTGTCGAGGCGATTGGGATAATGATTTTGGGATTCTTTGCCCACCCCTTACCACAATAGAATCAAGCAAAGAAGAGAATGAGGGCGGATTCAACACAACATTTACAATGATTAAGGCGGGCGGAACCCGGGGAGGATTCAAAAGCCTACAACAAGACGAGAAAAGATCCTTAAATCCAACTACTTCAATTAGATTTTGTATAAACTATTGATATTTTTCTTGATAAGATGAAATGGATAAATAAGTATTTGACATAATTCATAAACAGTTTTGAACAGTTTAGTATGTGGTAAATGGTTATAAATCTTTATATCACTATCTATTCGTCTCATCCTGTTTGATATCAATTTTGTTTATATTTGAGATATACAAAATCAATCATATTTAGACTCTGTTCTTTTCAGTTGAGATTTTAAAAATGGATGTTAAAAAAATTGGAAGAAATTGAGAAAAAAACTTGAAGAAATTGAAAAAAAAACTAGAACGATTTAGAAGAATTGTCAATGAGTTGGGAGAATATCAAATACTCTATTAAATAATCATCTAAATAAAATATATAAAAGTGCTACGTTATAAATTTGAATATATAATATTATTATGGTACCGTACATGAGGAGGATACGGAACCAAGTGGTGACCCAGCACCCGTACGACCAAGGAGGAACGTCGGGCCACCCCGACGATACCGAGATTATGTTTAATATTTTATTAATATTTTGTAACGTAGATTTTTTCTAGGTGAGCGGGTTATAAGCTCCTTCGAGGGTTTCTTTTCGGTTCTTTACCTCGATGCTTTTCTTGAACCGACAGGGTAGAAATTAGATTAATTAGGAATGGGGAAACTCTATTTAAAGGGACGAACCCTTATCAATAATAATAACCAACTTTTATTCCCCAAAACCCTAATCTTCCCAACCTTTCTGCCTTCGTGGTTATCTCAGCCGCGTCAAGGTTTCTTCTCTCCCTCTTTGCCGATTGATCTCGCGGAAGTCGAGTATCAACTGGTGCTCTCATTGCCGTTCTCATGGCTTCATCCGATAACAATTCTGTTTTGACGTTGGAGGATGTCATGTCGGCCATTAACGACATACGGAAGGAGCTTCATGCTACAAAAGTTCGTGTCACTGAACTTTCCGCTACTCGTACTGAGGACCAGCGACATCATGGCCGACCGCCGCACCAGGGTTGGCGGCCTCCTCCATTGCGCATGACTACGGGGACTACAGACCCTATACCTCGGATGCGAGTCGATACGCCGCGATTCAACGGAGAGGATCCCACCGGTTGGATCTTCCGTATCTAGAAATACTTTGATTATTTTATGACACCGGAGTATGAACGTTTATCTCTCGCGGCCATGCTTATTGACCATCCGGCCTCGGAATGGTTCCACTATTACCAAGCCAACAATTGTGGTGCAACGTGGGATGACTTTTTACTGGCTGTTCATCAACGTTTTGATCCAAGCTATTATGAGAATTATGTGGGTTTGCTTTTAAAACTCACCCAAACCGGATCCGTGATGGAATATCAGTCGTCGTTTGAAGCACTTCTTAATAAGGTAACCGGAGTACCCGAAGCAACCCTAGTCGCGATGTATGTTGCGGGGCTGAAACAGCCGATACAACGGGAGGTGAATCTACGGGGTCCAACAACCTTGTCCGCCACCTTTGCCTTGGCCAGGGAGGTTTCGGCGTGTCATCAGGAGTCCTGGCATCTCTTCCTCGTCGTACATGGTCCACACGTTTCTCCCCTGGTCAGTCCTCATCAACATCGGCCGGCCTGCTACCCACCCCGACCACAGCCGCACGGCCCTCCCCGTTTCCAGCCCGATCATCGGATAAGGCAACCAACCCCCCACTGCCGGTTGTTCGTTTATCAGCGGCAGAAAAGGCTGAGCGCAACAAAAAGGGTCTATGTTGGTATTGTGACGAGAAGTGGATTCCGGGGCACAATTGTAAACACCGTTTTCTTGTCCTCATGGGTCCCGAAGACGATGAGGAAGAACCTGTACCGGCTGACACTACCCCATTGGAGGGAGAGGCTGCTCTTATTACCGCCGATATTTCAAGTATCCATTCTCTCTCCGGCAGCCCTAGTCCCCGGGCTCTCAAATTGGCGGGGTCTGTCAACAATACTCCAGTGCAAGTGCTCCTCGACAGTGGAAGTACTCATAACTTTATCCATCCCAAAGTTGCAGAACACCTCGCCCTTGTACTCCAGCCCATCACCCCATTTTGGGTTTATGTCGGCAACGGTGATTCGTTGCGTTGCGCTTACTCATGTCCGCAGACGCCTCTCATCTTACAAGGCCACTTATTTCCCGTCGATCTTTATCTCTTGGAAGTGCATGGACCGGACGTCATCTTGGGTATTCAGTGGCTCCAAACCCTCGGTTGTGTTTCCCATGATTACGGCCAGATGACGATGGAATTCCTTTGGCAGGGGCAGACTGTCACGCTTCGTGGGGATCTCCCAGGGCCTAAACCCATCTCTTATGGCCATTTGTGTTCCTTGGCATCCACGGCAGAGAAGGTGGAATTTTATGAGATCATAGCCGCTCATTCTTCGCCACCTCCAGACCCTGCCACAGCTACTCTTCTGCCCAAGGATTTGCCGCCCATTATCCAGGAGGTGCTCTCAGCCCACCAGGATGTTTTTGGGGTATCTACTGGCCTTCCACCACCCCGCGCATGGGATCATCGCATCCATCTGATTGAGGGCAGCCGGACCGTCAACATTCGTCCCTATCGATATCCATACTTTCAGAAAGCCGAAATTGAACGCCAAGTGCGGGAGATGTTGGAGCACGGCCTCATTCGGCATAGTCAGAGCCCTTTTTCTTCACCCGTTTTGCTTGTCCGCAAGAAGGATGGTACATTTCGTTTTTGCGTCGATTACCGCGCCCTCAATGCCGCCACCATACCCGATCATTTCTCGATTCCGACTGCAGACGAACTTTTTGATGAATTGGGTCAGGCGGAGGTGTTCACTAAATTGGATCTTCGCTCGGGGTACCATCAAATCCGGATGCATGACTCGGATATCTTTAAGACGGCCTTCCGTACCCATGAAGGCCACTATGAATTTTTGGTTATGCCCTTTGGTCTGACGAATGCTCCATCACTTTTCAGGCGGCTATGAATCAACTCTTCTGCTTGCATTTGCGCAAGTTTGTAATTGTCTTCTTTGACGATATATTGGTTTATAGCCCGACTCTCACGGCTCATGCGGAACATCTACGTACTGTTTTAGCCACTCTTCAGGAGAACCACTTTTTTGTAAAACTGAGTAAATGTTCCTTCTGTCAGAAGACTATTGGATATCTGGGCCATCTCATTACCAGTGGTACACTCAAGCCAGACCCCGAGAAGATCGCTGCAATGACTGCCTGGCCGCTGCCCTCTACCGCGACCCAACTCCATGGGTTCCTCGGTCTCACCGGATACTATCGGCGATTCGTGGCCGGGTACGCTATTATAGCGGCGCCATTAACCGATCTATTGAAGAAGGACAGTTTCCTATGGTCTCCCGCAGCAACTACCAGCTTTGAACGCCTCAAAGAGGCCATGACTACGGCCCCGGTTTTGCGGCTTCCGGATTTTCGTCAAACTTTTTATTTGGAGACCGATGCATCGGACACATGAATTGGCGCCGTATTATTGCAACAGGGTCATCCCGTGGCGTTCTTTAGCAAAAAGCTCGGACCACGGCGTCGGGCGGCGTCCACTTATCACAAGGAACTTTACGCCATCGTCGAAGCTATTCAAAAATGGCGTCAATACCTACTGGGCCGTGAGTTCGTCATTCGGAGTGACCAACGCAGTTTAAAGGAGCTCTTGCAGCAGGTCATACAAACCCTAGATCAACAATTTTACATTCGAAAACTGATGGGATACAAATTTCGAATTGAGTACAAGCGGGGGTCGTCCAACCGGGCTGCGGATGCACTGTCTCGCCGTGAAGAGGAGCGGGATACTGCCATGTTCCACTCCTTGAGCGTGCAAGCCGTGCCACTGCTCATGGATGCACTTCGGAAGGAGAATGATACACTGCCCGATCTAAAGGACTTGCATGCGGCTGTTGTGAATGGTACGGCTCCTCCCGATATTAGTTCGAATTCCGACATCCTTTACTATAAGCGGCGTCTGTATATCAGCCCCTCTTCACCCTTGAGAAATCAGATTCTGCATGAATTTCATGGTACTCCAGTGGCGGGTCATCAGGGGGTTGATCGAACCTTCCGCCGTATCGCCGATGTCTTTTACTGGCCGGGTCTCCGACGCGAGGTGCACGCCTTTGTGGCATCGTGTCCTGCATGTCAGGCCACTAAGTATTCCACCCGCAAGCCTGCGGGACTACTGCAGCCCCTACCCATTCCGGAGCGGGTATGGGACTCCGCCTCCATGGATTTCGTAACGGGTCTTCCACCGTCTCGCGGCTTCTCGGCTATCATGATTGTGGTTGACAGGCTGTCCAAATACACTCATTTCGGGCCATTGGCCGCAGGCTTCGATGCCCCTAAAGCCGCGCAGTTGTTTGTTGACATAGTAGTGAAACATCACGGCTTTCCGGGGGATATCATTTCCGATCGAGACCCCATATTTTTGAGTTTTTTTTGGAGGGAGTTACTGCGCTTAAGTGGGTCTTCGTTGAAGTATAGTACAGCATATCATCCTCAGACCGATGGGCAGACCGAGGTCGTCAATCGGACCTTGGAACAATATCTCCGTGCCTTTACATATGAACGCCCGGCTCGATGGGCTGCTTTGCTTCCTTGGGCAGAATTGGCACTTAACTGTAGTCATCATGAAGGGATTGGCATGTCCCCGTTTCAAGCGTTATATGGTCGCACCCCCCCGACGATATTTGCGACTATGCCGGTCAATTCCCGAGTAGCCAGCGTGGAGGACATGCTTAAGGAACGGGCAGCACTGCTTGAAGATTTAAAACTCCATTTGTCTAAAATGCAGCAGCGCATGCGGTCCAGGGCGAACCAGCATCGGCGGGAGGTGTCCTATAGCGTTGGTGATTTGGTTCTGTTAAAGCTTCAACCATATCGGCAACACTCCGTCGCTCGGCCGCTCTCCACCAAGCTTTCTCGACGATTTTATGGGCCCTTCAAAGTGATAGAACAGGTTGGCCCTGTCGCCTACAGGCTGCAATTGCCGGAGGGGAGTCAAATCCATGACGTTTTTCACGTCTCCCTACTCCGGCCGTTTATCCAGCGAGATCAACCCATCCCCACCTCTGCTCTTCCGGATGCTTTCTTTAAGGGGCGACCAGTTTCGGTCCCTACGGCTGTGTTGGATAGGCGCTCCGTGCTGGTGGATGGGGTTGCTCAGGAGCAGTGGTTAGTTCGTTGGTCCGATGGCACCGATACTGATGCTACGTGGGAACCGGCATCAGCTCTCCAACAACACTATCCCGATCTTCGCCTTGAGGACAAGGCGATTTCCGTGGGCGGGGGAGTTGATACCGTACATGAGGAGGATACGGAACCAAGTGGTGACCCAGCACCCGTACGACCAAGGAGGAACGTCAGGCCACCCCGACGATACCGAGATTATGTTTAATATTTTATTAATATTTTGTAACGTAGATTTTTTCTAGGTGAGCGGGTTATAAGCTCCTTCGAGGGTTTCTTTTCGGTTCTTTACCTCGATGCTTTTCTTGAACCGACAGGGTAGAAATTAGATTAATTAGGAATGGGGAAACTCTATTTAAAGGGACGAACCCTTATCAATAATAATAACCAACTTTTATTCCCCAAAACCCTAATCTTCCCAACCTTTCTGCCTTCGTGGTTATCTCAGCCGCGTCAAGGTTTCTTCTCTCCCTCTTTGCCGATTGATCTCGCGGAAGTCGAGTATCATATTATATAGTTTTTCAAGTGAAAATACATTTTTAAAATTGTTATCAAAAGAATTGAAAATAGTTGAAAAATCAGAAGAATTTACGGGGTGTATACAATCAGGATTCTGATAGGTAATTTTGGATTCTAAAAATTACTAGATATTCGACTCAGAATTTAAAAAGTGATTTAAAGTCAAAGAGTATTCAATTCAAACTTTAAAAGTCGTTTTAAATATGATGATATTCAAAAATTGATAGATTTTTAAAGATTTTAAAAATGTAAATTTTGATGGATTTTTATGCCTTCCATTTAAATACGGAGTAAATCATAAGAGCATCTCCAATGGGTATTGTAAATTTTGATAGTGTATATTGCATTTTACACTACAAAATGTGTTTTAGCAATCTTTTTTTCATAGCTCCTCCAATCATTTCTCTTAAATAATACACTTTTTTTATATACTCCGTATTACGGAGTATTATTTTTTAAAATATTTATTTGTAATAATATTTATATTTTTAAAATTTTTATAGTACATGAATTTCAAACTATACATATATTGAGTACTTTTATAAGAAACAAGAAATATAAATGTATTTTAATAAATATATAGAAAAAGTGAATTAATAAGATAGGAATAACATGCAGTGTATTAATATAATGTGAGACTTATTTTTTACAATATACTCCATCCGTCCTAAAACGATCTTCTCACTCCTCTTTTTTCCCCTTTCACCATTTACTCCCGGACCATTCACTTTCTTTTTCTCTCTACTTTTTCTCCCCTCTATCTTCCATGTCTTTCGAAGTCATAGATCGAATCATGAGATCTACTTCTCTCGTCTCTCTTTCTTCTCCCGGGAAAACAATTACCGTCCCTCCTCTCAACCTACTTTTTTCTTTACATTCTCTCTTAATTTCTCTCTTCTGTCTTTTCATTTCATCTTCCTCTTCATTTTTTTGAAATGAAATAGTTTCTTCTTCCTCTGACGCGGTGGGGGTGGGGGATCGGGAGTAGATCTGGTAGATTCAGTGTCAGATCTTGAAACGGAGTTTCCATAAAATGCACACGCAGAACCAGTGTCAAATATCCAAGCTCCAACAATGGTGGTTGGAGAACGGAAATTAGGCTCCTCCTCTGGGTTGCTATACGAAAGCGTTTTTCCTCTCCATTTTCTTGATGGTGGTCCCTGGTCATGTTGGACTTTAACCCAAATCTAAAACATAAATTATTCAATTTTACCTTTTTCATCTTCTAGATTTAGTTATTGGATGTGATTGTATTATTTTCACGGTTAACTCACAACTAAGAGGATTTGCATGAAATCTTATCTTCATTTTTTTTCTCTAGATTAGGATGATTGAGGGGCATTTTAAGAAAGTCAAAGCATAATTTACATTCTCTTAAAAATGGGCTCAAGTCAAACTGGGGAGGTCCATTTAGGATGGATGGAGTACTTAATTTTGTCTACCCTAGTTAGTAGGGGTTTGTATATATATAATGTATTTTTTACAAGAGCCTTTTGCCGGCTCCTATTCTCTTCATCATCTTCCGAACTCGTTCTCCATCTTCTCTAGCTTCATCATAGTCAATCCTTCGCTACATCTTCAAGGTAAGGTCTCTATTGTTTAACAACTTGTTTTCGCTCTAGTTATCAATAATTTGTTCAAATCAAGGTAAATTCTAACATGATTTTGGAGTTTTATTACTAATTTTTTTTGTGAATTTCAAACCCTATTTTCCGACCCAGAGTGAACGCTTCTCCTTTCACTGAATTTCTTTATGAATTTCAAACCTTGAGTTGCTGGTTGTCATTATATTTCGCCTGTATATATCTGGCCTGCTTTCATGTCGTTACAGCCACACAAAGAAGAAATGTTAGGTTATTTACATTCTCAGTGCTTCCATGTATTAGCTCCTCCATGGTTTTTTGTGTGTGTATGTTTTCCTTAATGAGAATATCAATAATTTAATGCCTTGTTTGGATTTGTATATTTACCACTTTGCCTTGGTGCCAAACAATAATTGCCACTTTGCGTTTGTAGGACTTATATGGATAATTGCTAGTACACCTTAACCTTGTAGAATCCATAATTCGTTAAAAAAATGCTTTCCATTCCATGGAAATTTATATCATGTATCCCTCAGGGCACCATGTTCATTCTCTTGAAGAATAATTACTTTCTCCATCCTAGAACTTCCTTCTCACGTGTTTGCGTGCAACATTTTAAACATTATTTTTTATATTTATACTTAAATAAATATTATAAAAAATGATATTTTAAACTATACTTCAAAACAATTAATGATATAATGTTTATAAATACTAGACTTGACAAAAAATGACCCAACATATTTTTAACTTGAAACCCGACCTCAAAATACTGGGTTTTGAACAAAGGTTTTGATGATCGAATCCGAATTTGAACGAACCCAAAATAATTCGCTAAAAATGGGTCAAACCCGACCGAACCCGAACCTGACTTGACTAACATGCTAAAGTAAGAGTTTTTTAAAATTACACACTTTACTACTCGTTTTTAATGTATAAATTTACATTCTTAGACAAAATTTTAATGATATTGCATAATCATCTTATATTGATTTATATATCTAAAAAAAAATTTAGGATTTAAATAGAATAATCTAATAGACTTAATACATATTGTTTAATATTTTAAATTTATTTAATAGAAAATATAAGTGTTAATGCGAATTTAAAATTTTAAAAACCAAAATTATAACCCGTTAGGTCGACCCAAACCCGATGATACTGGGTTTGTGGTGATGCATTTTCATAACGGTAATACATTTTCTAAATGGTTGTGAAGTTGTGTTCTCAAAATTTTATCTTCATTGTTCACTTATTAACAACCTTTAGATATGAAATCTAATGGACTATATGCATTCTCATTTCTTTCATGGAGCATCCTTCTCATTTGATTCTCTCTCTCTATATATGTATATACCATAGTTTTAAAAACCGGACCGGGGACCGAACCGGTCTGGGTACTGGTTCACTAGTTTACTGGTCAGTGGTTCAAGTGGTTAAACCAGTGGTTTAAACATATTATATTCTCCTTCCGTCCCTCATAGATCTTTCCAATAGCCCTTTTTCTTTGTACATAATAGATCTTCTCATTTCATTTTTAATAATTAAAATACCATAACTACTCCCACTTACTTTATTTATTACACCTCACCCACCTCATTTAATACACTCCACCCAATTTCATTAAGGGTATTATGGTAAACTTTCACTTTTTTCAACTCTCCTTAAAAACCATTAAAAGTCAAAATGAGAACATCTTAGGGGGACAGAGGGAGTATACACACACACACATACATAGATACATACACATATATATACATATACATATATCTATATATATGTGTGTGTGTATGTGTACACACACACATATTTTGTATAAATCAAAATAACTTCTTTCATATGTACATAAAATTTTATGATATTTGATTAACATTTTAATCACTCTAACTTATTTTGTTAGTCAATTTATATTTAAAATAAAATTTACGTATCGAGAAATACATTAAATATTTTATAAAATAATGATCTTTTATTTTTCTTTATATACTTTGCCTAATATCCAAAAATATTAAAATGAATTTTTTTCATGACACGTACTCCGTATTAGAATTATTTCTATTTTTAAATGTTAAGAATCTTAGTTTAAGAAATAAAGAAATCTTTTAATTCATATTCCCTCCGTCCCAGAGTATTTGTCCACTTTCATTTTTACACACCATCCAATACACTTCTTTATTCCATTTTATCTTGTAATTTGTATATTAAAAAATTATAGAAATTATATATTAATAATCTATATGTTAACACAAATCAAACAAGATCACACATGACTATATTTAGCTTACAAATTGAGAGAATTTGATGAGTCAAAGTGCTTAAGTGAACAGTGCCAAAAGTCAAAAGTGGACGAATACTCCGGGACGGAGGGAGTATTTACTTTTTCAATTAAGGAATATATACCATTTAAAACTAATATTTAACAAAAAATGTTCTTTCTTGGTTAGTTGATAACTTTGCATAACAACCATTAGGTTAAGGGTTCGAATCTTGGTCGAGGAGTAAACATTTTGGCCAATTTTGCAAAAAAAAAAAAACTGGTTTGACCGGGTGAACTGGCCAGTTCTTACCGGTTCACACCGGTTCGAATTGGTTCATGCACGAAGTGGTCCAAAGGACCGGACCGGACCGGACCGGTTCGACCTCCTGTTTGCCGGTTCCTGGTTCAAACCGGCTGGTTCGGTTTTTAAAACTATGGTATACACATGTATATATATGTGGGTGTATGTGTATACATACAAACACACACACACACACACACATATATACATATATATATATATATATATACACACACACACACACACACATATATACATATATATACATACACACACACACACAAACACACACACTATACGTATGTATGTATGTATGTATATGTATGTATGTATGTATATGTGTGTGTGTGTATATATATATATATATATATATATAGATTTTGGTTCTGGTGAGAATGCAATCTTAGGAGAGAAATGAGAATGAATCTGGTGCTTTAGATTGTAAGATCTAAGGGTCAAGATTTCATCAAAATTAGATGCACAAAAATGGTTCG